TTGAAACCACAAAGAAATTGCTTTATCTAATCAACAAATGTTGACTGAGTACCTATATTTGTAAAATGCTATGTGCCTCCTGGGCAAAGAACTCTGATGAAATTAGGTAGATAAAAATTTGAATTAAGCAGAATTGTTTGTTTGTTTGTTTGTTTGTTTTACAGTTTCCATTTCTATTCTGGATTCCAATTTATATGATTAACTACTTACATTAAATTGAAAAATTGATATCAAGGCCATTGAGTGAAAACATATTTATTAAATATGCAACATGGCATTTTTTTCTGAGATTTCAACATATAATTTTTTACATTAAAATTCATTTAGAAAAATACATATTTTAAATATGGCATTTGCTTATCTTGCACTATAATTGACTATTCATTACTTCACATTTCAGAGAGTTCCTTGATAGTCCCCTAAAGCTGTCTTGTAAATACTTCCTTTGAAAAGAAAGAGTGCAAAGTGTGAAAACCTTGAATTTTAATTTTCAAATTAGTTTTGGCAAATGAAAAATATTTTATCACCTTAGAAGCACATACTCCATTAACTTTAGCTACCTAAGAATAGAATTTATGAAGACTTAGTAGAAAGACAATTAGAAATACATTTTTTTAGCAAAAAATAGGAAATGGCAAGAAATAAAATACTACTACATTCTAGTAATTACAAAATGCAAACCATGGATTGGAAAAATTTTAAGCAGAATATTTTTACTATGATTTTTAATATGTAAAGGATCTATAGCTAACTGTTTTATACTTTAGCTAAAATCTATTTTAGTCTAATGTGACACTGTCTTGTCACACCAGACAGTTTTCGGTGTTGTCACTAGGACAGGAGTGAGTGTTACTGAAACACACACATAAATCCTCTATCATTATTTTCTCCTTGAAAAATAAAACCCAATAAAAATGTCTTGAACACCTTTGTATATATAATTTCAATGAATAAGACTAATTTTTAATTAGTCCTTACTTGTATGTTTACTTTTAAAGAAAATCTCCACAGGTGGGGTTTATAATGCACACATATGGGCAAGCAGATTCCATGCAAAACTTCTCTTTCCTGAAGGGCTATATGATCCAACACTACTTTGCACCACTAAGCGTAAGACACAGTCTTTTACATTATAGGTCCTCATTATGTAACACCTTCCAAATGTTAGTATGTTTCAGGAACTGCACTAAATATGTTACATGTATGCTATCATTTAGTCATCACAATACCTATAGACAAAGAAACTGAGGCTCAGAATAATTCGTTGAATTGCCCAACACCAAAAGCTTCTAATTGACACTGAAGACATACATATTTCTAACCTCAATGTGCATTATAATTTTATGGACAGATTTTGCAATATTAACACAAGGAACAAGGTAATTAGCCACTGGTTTATCAGTATTAGATGCATTTTTTTACTGGCGTGTCAAATTGGTCTGCCATTTCAAAAAAAAAAAGATATACACAAATAATGTATAACAATTAAAAGTAAAGGTATGATTATTCAGCTGCCCACTCTTGAAAACCCTGTGTTGACTGTAACTGTTTATGTACCCTTTGACATTCAAAACATAACCTATGACTTTTTGTTGTACATATGAAATGTGTTCAAATCTGCCCGGCCCCCATCTCCATTCTGATGCCCATTGTCATCTCAGTGTTCTTACTTGATTGTACTTCTCCCATAACTCCTCTGTAGTCTTGTCTTCTACCCAAGTCCATGGCCCACATTGCTACTGAAGATATTTTGTAAATTGGGAATTTAACTTATTCACCTAAAAATATGGTATTTTTAACCTATAAAAATTAAAATTCTTAGACAGTCTAAGTCTTTTTACCAAAATGTCTAGATTTGTATTCCTTTAGCACCCTGCAGTGCTCTTTTGCTCAAAAAAGTTATTTCTATTTTTTTATTTTCAGACAGAGTCTCATTCTGTTGCCTGAGCTGGAGTGCAATGGTGTGATCTCAGCTCACTGCAACCTCCACCTCCAGGGTTCAAGTGATTCTCCTGCTTCAGCCTCCCAAGTATCTGGGATTATGGGCACCCGCCACCACACCCAGATAATTTTTGTATTTTTGGTAGAGATGTGTTGGCCAGGCTGGTCTTAACTCCTAATCCTCAAGTGATCTGCCTGCCTTGGCATCACCAAGTGCTGGGATTACAGGTGTAATCACGCTTGGCCAAAAAAGCTATTTCTAATGATGAAAAAGAAAAAGTAAAAACAACAGATAAACCTTGAAAATAATATTTAGATGTGACAGAGTAATGTTGGTTTTAACTTATACTTGGAAAAGTACAAAAAGATCACCTAAAAACCCCAGCATTTTTTCATTAACCTAGTTTATAATTTTTATATCAATTATTTAGCAAATATTATTTAAAAAATTAAAGAACAAACATTCTACAATGTGAATTTAAAATACCACTTTTCAAAGTTGGCTTTTATTATTAAACTAATGAGAGTTAATTGTATATTTATTTCCCAAACATATTTATATTTGATTTCAAAACTTGTTTGTAAAGACAGCAGTTGATCACAACTTGTATAATTGTATTTTATAGTTGTAGGTAGATTTTATAAGAAGAGAAACATCACTGAAACTATATTGATAGTAATGGTGAAGAGAAGCAGAAAAACTAGTTAACATGCTACTTCTGTTCCTTGCTAACTAACTGTCCTAGCACCATGCAGTTGCAGGAAGTGAGCAACAGAAAAGACAATAGCTCTGCTACCAGGACAGCACTCAGGAGTATGGCCAGGCTTGGCAGAAGAAGCAAATTACATGTCATGTCCCCTACTCCTACCACATGGTGGAAGGAAATTATTTTTGAATGCAAACGACATCAGAGTTATAGTTCCTCAATTTAAAATGAGAAAACAAGGTCCTGAGAAAATGAAGGAAACAGAATTTGTTGGTGGTATGTTTCCAACAGTCTCACTCTCATCTTTGACATGTGCTCTGGAACTTTTCTATGAAATTGCATTGGTCACTAAAGTATGGCCACAGTCACTGTCTCTAAACATTAATGGAACACCTGTATGTGCAAGACACAGAACTAGTTATTGTACATATACTTTAGAATCTAACCCTTTTAACAGTCCAATAAAGCTGATACTCTTTTCATTTTATAGGTGAACAAACTGAAGATAGAAAACTTGTCCAAGGCCCAATAACATGAACTCAGTTCAGTCAGACTCCGACCATATTTTCTCTCTTATACTTTACTTATGCTTTCCATCATGAAAGGGTTGAATTTGGTTCTAGAAGGATAATTATAGCTTACAGTAAAAAGGTTTTTATATCATGGTTAATAATTATATCAGTGTCATTATCTTTGTTAAAGACATTTAAAATATTACTTTAGGCAGCAGCACTACAAAAGGTAGGTTTGGAATCCCCTGGTTCCTTATTAGCGGGTAAAAGCATACTGTCTGACGGTAAAGGGTATACACATTAAGGGAAACTACAATACAGAGAACCAAGTGCAAAAACAAAGCAAGCCCACGTGGAGCTACGTAAGCGTAACTCAGCCTCAGTCCAAGGAACATCTACTGACAAGAAACAGATGGAGAAATGTCTACACTCAGAGAACGCTGATAGACAAGAGCACACATACAGCATTAACATGTGCAGGCTTTCCATTCCTTTCCCCCTTGACTACCCTCTGTTTTGTCAAGTCTTTCTATTCTGTAACTGCAATTGCTTGCCTGCTAAGCCATTGCACATGGAACAAAGACGGGGCAAGGAAAAGGAAAGACAAAACTCATTCTACTGACCCCTAAAAAAGCTAGAGCTTAGTTTGACATGAGTTTCAGACAGCCTCTAGTAAGGATGCAGGTTGTGCAGAAAGGTGCATTTGTTGGGTGCTCAGTATAAACCATTTAATAGCCAAGTCCTGAAAATGTAGAAATTCTTGAAAATAATCATTTACTCCAAGGGATTGCCTTATAAGTATCATAAAGCCCATGTCATCCATATTTGGGGAAACAATTTTCCAGAAAAGTCAGAGATGAAATCGGGAAAAGGTCATCCTCTGAAATGGAGGCTAGCAAAGGTTGCCAAAGTCAATGAGTTGCCGTGTTAGCAGTGACTCATTATAGGAGATTGTACTATACAGGACCTGTATATTACAATCCACTGGTATCATTCTGATGTTATAATTGTAATATGTGTGTTGGACGTAAAATTATACTGGCTGTTGTCATTAAAACTATCAAACAACTTAAGAATAAGAAGCTAGTACATATGTAAGACTGCTCAAAGGAGACGATTTTATAGTTTTAGACAACTCATGCATTTTAGTAAGTAATATTTCTGAAGTGGTGAAGACTACTAATAAAGCTACTCTAGAGTGATTAAAAATATCCATTTAGAGCACCTGAAAATGTGTTGTAATTTTGTGCACCCAACTGAGCTACTGACTTAAAACTGAGCTACTGGTTTACAAAACAGATTTTCAGGGAGAGTGGCTGAAGCAACAGATTGAATCATCTTCCCAGGAGGGCAAAATCAACCATTTTTTGGTTATATTTTCCCCACAGTTTCCATCGCAGCACTGTAGATAAAACAAAACAAAACAAAACACAAAAAGGCCTTATCACTGCATTTTAAATGCAATTTTAAAATTTCCCCTGTAAATTAATAAATTAGGACTTTTACTAAATAAACTATAACAGCACAGCCTGATATATCTTGGTGAAATTAGAGAAATAAATTCTAGAGTCTACAAAACTGAAGGCCACACTTGAGACCCTTTTTGTCTATTAAGGTACTAGCTCCTGTTAAGGTACCAAATCCTTTGACTGATTAAAACGATTTAAAATTTTGTTACATACAACTCAATTATAACTTATGAGTATTACAGGCAATCTTGTACACTATAGACATCTTATTGGTACAGAAGTATAGTTCAGTGATATGGATGAGAAATTCATAAATCATATTAGAATAAAGAAAGAAAAGACAGACTTTAATAGAAAAGAAAATGTCTTACTTGGTTAAGAATGTCTTGTTTCTGTGCATGCAAGGAAAGAAAGAATACATGTGTTAATGTAAGATAATTTATACTCATTATCTCATATCTCTGATTATTTAGCTAAAAGTTCAAATTTACAGGTTGATTTTCAAACATACCCTAGATCCATAAGCCTCAAAATGTGGTTTTGAAACATTGGCAGCAACAGAAGCTGGGAAACTGACAGAAATACAAATTCTTGAGCCCCCATTCCAAAAACACTGAATCAAAAACTGCGAGGAGAAGGGGAGGCAGGCAGCAATCCATGTTTTAGTATACCCAGTTGATTCTGAGATACACTAACATTTGAGAATCAATGACTAGATCCATCTTTGTATATAATAAGCAAACTCTTCTGATATTAAATATAATGTAACACTTATAGTATCATTAAAATCTTTTAGAGGATTAATAGAAATATGACCATGTATATAAAGGTATATTAGATTTTGAATATGTATCTCAAATTCCTAAGCTTTCCTTCTATTAGCATAACATACCTAGCGTCTCTCTATACTTTTAAAGATTAAAATATATTTATAAATACTTCTGCCACTTTCTTCCCATTTCCCAGCTGTAAGTTGAACGATTTGGAATTGACCTTGAAGTCCAAGACCAAAAGATAATAAATGCATGCAATGCTAAACTGGCTCCTCCTTGTACTACCAAATTCTGCTGCTTTCAGAAGACTATTTCTATGGCCTGACTATGTTCTACTGTGAATACTCTCTCATTGAGACTGGATCTCTACTACAAACTAGCTGTAATAATATTCTTAACATTATATTATTTACACAAGAGTAGGTGGAGCCTAATAAGACTCTCTTACCTTGTTAAGCATGGGCCATTAATATGTATGTGTACTGGAAAGTGCCACACTCATTACAAAAGCAGTGTCTTCCCATGCCTTCCCCTAACTTGTCTCTTTCTTATCTAAAAGGACATTCTTTTCCCCTATGATTTGGCCAATGAAGTGGAGAGCACAGAGCATTAGCCTTAATCTGGGATTCTAGTCAATTAGGTTTTCATTGTGGTTACTGTCATGAGCTAGCTGGTGAATTTTGGAAAAATCATTTCACTTTTCTTAAAATAGTTTATTTAACAACTTTGTAATTTTATTAGGTTGGGAATCTCAAGGCCTTTTAAAGGTTTTTATTCCTACAGAGTCTTTAAGGCTATTGTTTATATTAATCTTATTCATTTCTTCAAGGAATAATTATCAAATGATCTTTAACAGATAGGTATGAAAAGTAAATGATTCATTCATACATTATACATAACATTTTTTTCTCTATTAAAATAGATTTCAACAGGTCACATCTTTTTGGGTTAAATTTTTATCTATAGCACTTTAAAAATTCAGTAATTCAAGTGAATTATAAACAAAATAGTACATCTACCATTTAAACAGCTTTACATTATAGGAGGATAAGCAATTTAACAGATATTCTCTTTGAAATTACATTTTATATACAAGCCATATTCCTTTTAGAGAACAATGGAATAATTATTCATTTCAAATTTAGGCTGGATTACTCACTTGTCTAATTTTTCTTGTATAATTAAGCATCATTAACTTGTCATCAGTGCAAACAACTTTGGGGTCAAGTTGACCAGTCAATGGAGAGTGATAACTTCACATGTGAGTTGACATTAGGAATTCTGTCATATTGTAAAAGCAATTTTTTATAAATGGAAAGATTATCTATTGAAGAGAAACTTAAGGGCATAAAGAATTATTTCTCATCATTGAATATTCCCAATAAGTTTTTGATTGGCTTTTAGAAGATATATACTAGTTTTTTAAATAATTATATAAACCTTAAAATTTTCTTCTGAAGGAAACATTTTATCAGAATTAATTAAGATCACAGAGTGGTTTAGCTCTTAATTAAGAATTGTTCTTGGGTTATAATGAGATCTAATTTTTTTTCAACTGTTTATTATTTTAATGACACATTTCAACAATAGATCTGTACATTATGAAATGTATTACATTGTTGAAAAGGGTGATATGTGTGTCTAATAATGAATCTAATAACTACCTTAATAGATGCAGCATATGGTGACTGGTAATTCTCATGAAATACATAACAGGAAGACTAAGTCTTGAGAGTCCTATAAATAAGAAATAATTGAAGGAAAAAGCCTGCTTTGCAAACAAAATCACTTAACTGAGTTTGTAGCCAGAAGCTATCATTAGGGAGAAAAAACAGGTTTTATCTCTGTATATAGATTAGATAAGCATGTAAGTTTTCAGGTATTGCTGTGAATATAAATATTAATGACAATTTTTGTGTCACAGGAATTCAGTGTTATAATTCATCTTTGCTTTTTCAACTCTTCTTTCTTAGACATTGAGATTCTTAGTTCTATAGGTTCAGCTGCTAACTTTTTCTCCTCCTCTATGACATCTAAGAAAATAAAATATGAGGGAGTGTAGGTAGACAGCTATTTTTTTCTAATAGAGAAAAATGGGAATGGTTTTAAATAGTATTTATATTCTCCATCATTTATAGGCACCAAATATTAATTTTATTTTTTTAAGAGTAAGTTCTAGGCTAAAGAGTTTTAAAAGTTACAGTAATATACCAGAATGTAGAGAGAAGAAGAAAATATGACATGAAAAATAGCTAACTATGAGAAATACAGATAGAAAATTTCAAAACAATTTGAATATCTTGAGGGTTATAATAACTAAAATTAAGTTCTATAAATCCCTGGGAAGTACGATATTAAAAGACAAGTAAGAAGTGTATTCTTGCAAACATATAGAAACGAAACAATAACAAAAAACAGGTCACATTTTAGTAAGCAAACAAATCTGTCAGGTCAATACATCCAGACAAAAGGGTCTTTTGCAAAGAGACATTCGTTTTTTGCTCCAAAGCAATGTAAATGGTGCCTGCTGAAGCTACAAATGAACTAACAGTAATAATGATCGAACATTTAAAGTGTAACATCTCTCAACTAATATTAAATAGAAGGTAATTTAACAAATAATTAGGAAGGAAAGGCATTCATTCAAGCATGGTGTTCAAAAGAAATTGATAAGACATGCAAAGTTTTAATAAGAAAATAATTTCAAGAAATCTTAAGCTTACTGGTAAAACGTAAAATATAAGATTAAAAAAATCCCTCCCTTTTTGTACAAGTTGTCTCCTTAAGGTGACAGACCAGGTATAAGCAACACAAAATCCTTGTTTGGTCATGGAAATAATTGCCTGAAAAGAGTAACTCCCTACTACTACACCAATATCCATTGAGGGCTGAAATTTGTGGGTCATAGACTGAAAGCCAGGCATACCCTTTCTCTCTTTTGTCCAATACTACTTCCTGACTTCTAGGAAAAGAACTCAACACTATACTTAAATGATGCATATTCTTTCAAGCATACAATATAGAAGAGTTATCTGAATGAAAAATGTAGCACAACATTTAATGTATCTTCTAGAATACCACTGCATTATAAAATTCTTTTTGTTTAGGTCATAGTATATGGTAAATGGTTTATGGTGAACATATGTATATACACACACACATACACATACATATACATATATCTGTATCATACATATATAATGTATATGTGTACATATACATACACACACATACATTTTTCCAAGAATTTTTCACTAAGAAGTACCCTTTTTTAAGCATATATATGAAACTGATATAAAGAAAAAGAAGTTTTACCCCTTCAGGATTATACTTTGCAAGCACACCATTACCATGGAATTCTTCAAGAACATCCTTTAATTTCTTTGTAGAATCTATAAAAAACAGAAAACACACAAATTGTTTATATGCACATACTGTGGTGTGTAGCCCAGTTCAGAAACAGAGGCCACTTAAAATGCAAATAAGCATCAGCAAAAACTAAATTTAAAAACCAACATAAAATGTCTCTTGCCATTTTTGAGACGCCATTTAATTGGAAAAGAAATTACAAAGAAACAAAAAGATCACTGCATTAAATAAAAACAATAGTGCTGGATAAGAAAAATAAAATCTGTAGCTAAGCCTCAATGGTGAGTCCATTCAGAGGGAAGTTGTAGATTTTACTATGCTGTAGATATTTTTAATGAGAATTTTCTCTATATACATAACAAAACTAAATTAAAGCTTACTTTAGTAATTAAAGCCTTGGTAAGTAAGCTTTAATTTAGTTATGTTACATATTTTACTTTCTATATGCATTATGAGTAACACTTCAGTTTTGTTATGTATAAGTTAAAGCTTACTTTAATCCAATGAAGTAACAAAGCTTAGACATATTATCAACAGAAATATAAATTACTTTCTTCAAAAGTACTACTATTTTTAAACCTTTTATATTATTAGTTGGTAACAAAAATTTTTAGTAAAATAATGTCATAAAAGAATTATCAGTATTATTACAGTTAAATACATTAAGATGACATACATTCACCCAGTCTACTAAAATAACGCTCATTATCCTTACTGAAATATAATTTTTGATTGAGAAATCTCAAAATTATAATGCATTTTAAAGTTAGAAGGAAATAATAGCTAACAAATATGGATAAATCGTCTCAATATTTAATCCTTTAAATAATAATAAAAAACTTTGAAATTAAAATGTAGAAAATAAGCAGATTTTCCAGTTTTCTTTTATGGAACAGAGCATGGACAATTGTTTCCTACTATTTGGATATAAGTCTTTTTGACTTTTCCTAAGAATCAGTTATATTTTGACTACCACAACATATATCCCAGTTCCAGAAAACTAATTTACAAATGAACTTTTGAAACATTCTACTAGAGACTCTCATACATGCCCATTGAATACATAATACCTATAGTTTATGAATTGTACTTTCACTTGGAATGTACAATTTCCTTTCTTTATATTGTAATTTCTGTGGGCTTGTGTATGTACGTGAAACAGTATTTTTTTTTTTTTTTAGATGGTGTTCTGCTCTTTTTGCCCAGGCTGGAGTGCAATGGCACGGTCTCAGCTCACTGAAACTTCTGCCTCCTGGGTTCAGTCGATTCTCCTCCCGCAGCCTCCCAAGCAGCAGGGATTACAGGCACCCACCACCATGAATGGCTAATTTTTATAATTTTAGTAGAGACAGGGTTTCACCATGCTGGCCAGACTGGTTTTGGACTCCTCACCTCAGGTTATCTGGCTCCCTTGGCCTCCCAAAGTGCTGGGATTACAGGCGTGAGCCACCACGCCCAGCCTGTGACACACTATTTACAAGTGAGATAAAATTCATGCTACATAAAACTAACTACATTAACAATTTCCAAGTGTACAATTCAGTAATATTTAGCATATTCATGAAGTTATATAATCATTACCACTATTTAATTTTATAGTACTTTCATCACCCTGAAACGAAACCTTATACCCATTAAACAGTCACTCTGTATTTTCTCCCTTCTAACCTCTGGCTATCATGAATCTATCTTCTGTGTCTGAATATTTGCCTATTCTGGGCATTTCATGTAAATGGAATCATATAATAGGTTTCCTTTGAGTCTGGCTTCTTTCACTTAGCTTAGTGTTTTCAAGGTTCTTCCATGTTATAGCATGAATCAGTACTTCACTCCTTTTTATAGCAGAATAATATTCCATTGTAATGAATATACTACATGTAAAAAATCTATTTATCAGCTGATGTACATTCAGCATGTTTTCAGGTTTTGGCTGTTATGAATGCTGCTATAAACATTCAAGTGTTTTTGTATAAACATATATTTTAATTCTCTTGGCTGTATGCCTAGGAATAAAATTGCCAGGTCATTCAGTAACTATACATTTAATGTTTTGGGAAACTGCCAAATTGATTTGCACAGCAGCTGTACCATTTTACATAGTCATCAGTAAGGTAGAAGGGATTCAGTCTCTCCATATCCTTCCCAACACTAGTTATTTTCTTGCCATTTCTTCATTATAGCCATCCTAGTGGATGTGAAACAATTTGATTCATGTCTGATTAGTCATTTGCTAATGACCTACAATGTTGAGCATCTTTTTATATGCATATTGGCCAACTTGTATATTCTTTGGTGAAATGTTTATTCAAGTTCTTTGACCATTTTTTAACTGGACTTTTTGTCTTTTTGTTGTGGACATCCTCCGGGGTGTGTGTGTGTGTGTGTGTGTGTGTGTGTATGTGTGCACATGCATTTGCTTGATGCCTATACAGCTTCCTCTGTATTTGTTTTTTGGTATATAATTTGCTGGCATCTTCCATATTGTGATCAGAGTTAATTTTTTTATGTCATATCCCTTATGAGATTGAAGGTTGTTCTTGGGAAGAAAATGTGTGTTTTCATTTTTGCACACCTTTCAACTTTATCACAAAGCTGAAACAATAGAATTGCAATAAACATTAAGATTAAATTAATCACAGCTATTCCTCAATGGCAACAAATTACAGTAATTGCTTCAATATGAACTTTATTTGAAACTTACAGGGCAGAGACCAAATTGTGTATTAAAAAGAGACATGAAGCTGATGATCCCTTATTCTCAAATCCTTCTTTGTGGATAATAAGGCACTATTCGAAGTTAGCAGAACTGCTTTTAGTTCTTTTTACTCATAATTGTAGGTGCAACCCATATACATATATATACAGATGCATATACATTCTGGAATATCATCTCAATAGACTATGTATATTTCAACCATATCTTAGACCAGTGATACAATTGTAGATGCAACCCATATACACACATACACAGATATATGATACAATTGTAGATGCAACTGTAAATGCAATTGTTTCATATATCTGTGTATGTGTGTATATCAGTTGTATCTACAATGCAACGATGCACAATGCACAATGATACAATTGTAGGTGCAACCCATATACACACATAAACAGATGCATATACATTCTGGAATATCATATCTCAATAGACTATGTATAATTCAACCTTATCTTAGGCCAATGATACAATGGAAGGCAGAGAAAAACCATTTTGGTTTCTTTCTTTTTTTTTTCTTTCTTTTTTTTTTACACTCCTGTCATTTTTCCCTCATGCACATTAAATAAGTTTGTATGCCTTTTTCTCCTGTTAATCTGTCTTTTGTCAATTCATTTTCAGCAAAACTGCAGTGAGCAGAGAGGAAGCTTTCCTTCTGCTCCTGTAGCAGGAGCGGCCATGGGGAACGGATCTCTCGGACACCAAATACAGGAGGAAGGAGTTTATTTGGCCAGGAGCAAGGTGGCATCATAGTTGCCTAATAGCCAAGCTCCCCTAGCAAAGGAAGGTTCCGTCTTTATATAGGCTTATACTTTAGATGTTACACGTGGAAGAATCTTAGGTTTATAGCTTAACATATGAAAAGGGTCTCTCAGGAATCACATATGAAAAGAGCTTCCATTTACTATCTTAGGAATGAAAAGGGGAAGTTTACAGTCTTAAAAAAAGGAGAAATTGATCTGAGATGCATGGGTGTCTTTCTTCACTCCTACACTGGGAACTTATAGAAATGTGTGGAGTAACCTAATTTTGAGGGGATTGAGATCCTGTATTAGCAGCTGAAGATAAGAAACCACCAATGATGAGTATATTATTATTTTTTTCTTTTTTTTATGGATTGGAGGTTTCAGTGGGACGGGAGAATCACAAGGAATCAGGTGTTCAGAGGATTGTATTGAGTAGAGGTGAGGAACTAGGATGTTGAAAAGTAAAAAAAAGGAGAGAAGGAGAGGAAGAAAGAGGAAGAAAAAGAGGGAGAGAGAACAGGAATATTGCTTCATTCTAAAAATGGGTATTAATAATGGCCGATCAATATTTTATGTATTTAAAATGGAGAACTCTATAAATATTTATTGAGTTTACTTGTTCCGGATCTGAGTTGAAGTCCTGGATATCCTTATTAATTTTCTTTCTCGTTGAGTCTAAATCTTGTTATGGGTTTTATGTATCTGGGTATTAAGATCTTTTATTGTTGCATTGATCCTTTTACCACTGTATCTTTGTTGCTTTGAAATCTATTTTATCAAATGTGAGAATTGCAACTCCTGCTTTTTGTTTATTTATTTATTTTTGCTCTTCATTTGGTTGGTAAATTTTTCTCCAACCCTTTGCTTTGAGTCTTTGTGTATCTTTGGATATACCATTAGGTTTTGGCTGTATCTTTTGATTGGGGGATTTAGTCGATTTAAATTTAGGGTTATGCCATTTGATGTTAACTGGCTATTTTATCCATTCGTTGATGTAAATTCTTCTTTATGTTGATGCTCTTTACTTTTTGGTATATTTTTAGAAAGGCTCATACTGGTTGTTCCTTTCTATGTATAATGCTTCTTTCAGAAGTTCTTGTAAAGCAGGCCTGGTGGTAATAAAATCTCTGAGTACTTGCTTGTTCATAAAAGATTTTATTTTTCCTTCAATTGTGGAAACCAATTTCCTTTATTGGTTTCTTCCACATAGGCTTCTCACACAACTTTAGAGACACTGCCTAGATGGCTTTTTCATTTCAGGTTTTTATGAGAGTAAAAATCCAGTAATTATTGATAAATGGACACAGAGAAAGGGAAAGCTCATGAAATTATTCCTATCATATTTTACTAGTTTACTGGTCATAGTTTATACTGAATATTCTTAGTAGGGAACTCATGAGCTAAATTAATAGCCAAAAACTCCTAGATATATGACTGCCTTTTCCATGAACTGGAGCTCAATAATGACTTGGTCTGAGACAATTTAAGGTGCTCTGGTTGATATTCAGATGAATCACTATCAATTCAACTCACTGCCTCTCCAATTCTCAAATTTCAC